AGCTCTTAATTGTAAGATTGTTTATAAGACAGCAAAAGCTACTGAATCATAGTAGAATGATAAAAAGAGTTATGGTCATGGAGTATAGTAGTCGCTCCAGTTCTGAAAAACAACTTAAGAAAAGTAGAGGGCTATATTTTTATATGAAAAATAATGTAATATTCTTACGCAAGAAAATGTTTTTAAATAATGGATTACATCAGCAAAGTAACTATTAAAGAGTTAATGTTAAAAACTGTTACTAAGAAACTCTTGCTTTGATAAATGGTATGACTGAAAAACTGAATAGAAAGCTTAGAAACTCTTCCTGAAAGCAAGGCTGCACCGAGTCAAACAGAGAAATCATAATAACAGAAGCAGATTTGTCTGGCGGAGTGAACAGAAGGAATGTTACAGAATTGAGACATGAAGAACCTCACTGCAGAATAGAAGGAGAACTGTCATTCTGATTGTTTGTCATTATTGTTTCATGTCCAGTTAAGTGAACTTAGAGTGACAGTTGTGTCATAACTACTGGCATCTATGTAAATTTCAAATCAAATACGATAGAGGCTTTTCTGCCAGACACAAGTCACCAGGCTGCTCTTCCTCTTTATTTTTGTAACCCTCCATTTTCTCATACTGTGCTGCTAGCCCTTAAATTAAAAAGACAACTTCAACAGGAGATACCTGTTATGCTTGTGTTTCAGCTCTCAGTCCATACCTTGCTTTCTCTCAGCTCTTTGAAACAATGGCTGATGTCATATTTCCATCGGACACAGTCACAACACACATCTAGATGTATTAGCTAAAACTATGCCTTCCCATCGACGGTGCACCATACAACAAAATCCTCTGAAACTCTAGGTTGTGGATTTCCCCTGAAGATCTCCAGAGAAAACAGCTCGAGCAAATGTTCCTCCATTGGTTTACTATAGCCCAAGCCAGGTATGACAAGGGTCTTCTCTGTGGATAGGTGCAAAATGAGTGGAAAAGATCAATCCCGGACCTTTCTGTAAATCACGGCATCGTTCAGAGGTTATGGGAACTTCACAAGGGTAACAGACGTACTCCTCCACAGCAATGAGTAACAGTAAATAACTCATTTCCTGGATACACTCATAACAGGCAGATATTCTAATGACATAGGATTTGCTTCTGGACACACACCTTTGAAAATAATTTCAGTGCAATTAAAAAAGTATTATGTGTGGACAACACCATCCAAAAATATTAGAGATGCTGTTTATTCACTCAGGCATAATACCAATTTCTTCTGCATATTTTTAGCTTACTTGGCTAATTAATTAAATAATGCAGGCTAGAGTTAACTTTTTTTCATTGTAACACTTCATTCCAGAAAATTGTTTTAATTAAATTCTGCACAGGACTGTTTTCAGAAATCATACCAAAGAGCAGCTATGATCTTCAAAAAATGTTCCTTTGACAAAGGAAATTTTATAAATGGCTACAAGAAAAAAATAGCTCTGAGTAGAAAACATTTAATATGTTTCAATGATTTTTCATCTCCGAGGGAAAAGAAGACAAGTTTACTTTCTCTGCTGAAATTTTTTGAAGTGAATTCTGACTGAAAAGAAGTGGCAGTGATTTAACAAAAACATACTGTTATAAAATATGTATGTTCAGAAGCATAAATGATGGTGTTCTAAACGTGTACCCCCACATTAGGTAAAAGCATTTTGGTCAGCTGTATTAGTCAGATTTAGGTTTTTTTAAATTCCTTTCCAGTTGATCTTTTTTGTGCTGTAAATTTAAAGTAACTCAATGGCTACTTTTATCTCTAATTTTGGCCTTCAAACAGCACCAAGTTGTGCTGTCCCATCCTCTAATCTGACCATCTGTTACGGTGACTAGCAAATAGAGGCAACATCTTAATACAAGTTCTATAAATGTATCTGTGGAGAAAACTTTTTTTTTTCTTTTACTTTAAAGGGTAAGTTCCATATGAGTTCATATTTTTAAGCATTTGTCAAAGGGGTTTTTTTCCTTGTTAAAGATAGTGACATCTGAATCATGAAAACACTCTATTTATGTTTATATTTGTGACAAAATATCACTCTACAGATATGTCATCACAAAAGTAGTCAGTCTATGTTTAAGAATATCAAAATAATTTTGACTGATTTGCTTAAAAAGTACCTTGTTTTATTAGACTGTGGAATGCAAAGCCCTCTTTCAAAATTCGTGTAGCATTTCCAATTGTAAGACTGTTTTATGTAGTGAACTTATTATTATATATGCATATTCTAGTGGCCTCTAGAGACTTTTAATTTAAAACATAAATTACATGTAATTTCAAACTCTGATGTCTTTGACTTTAGTCACAGAACTCACTTCCAGGACTTTCTGCTACTGATGGCTGGTGGTAATATATCAATTCTCCCAACAGGAATATGCACAGGACAAATTAGTGAACGTAATTTTAGCCATATGAGGTCATTACAAATATAGCCTTAGCTCTTCCTAAAGTGGACTTCATTGTTAATATAAATATATAGCTATAATTGCTGACATTTATATTATTTGGCTCCTGTCCTAAGTTATGGATACAGTGATGATAAAAGGGTCTTGCAAGCCCTTACCTAAGCAAACCATGCTTACTAATTACCTTCCATGGTTCTGGGTTCCTGTAAATAAAGTTACTCATGTATTTATAAGCAAGTCAAAATCTATATACGTATTTCTAAAAGTGAATTATCTTGCTCTTTGGGGCAAACAGTACAGTCTTTTCTGCTTGGAAAAGAAACCTGAGAGGAAAGCCATCCAGGGTTCTTCCCAGCTTTTGCCCTGTATCGTTGAATATCCAACTTGAATACTTAATCCAGTCACATTTTTAAATTGTCTGAAGCCCAAAACCAGAAGATGCTATGCAAGTAAAAGGATGCATTACTTTAAAGTAACAAATGGTTGTTGATTTTTCATCACGGTTTCCAAAGAGACCGGGGTCAGAGGGTTTGGTTTAACGGTCTAATTGTTTGTTCAAAAGGTGCAGCTCACAAGACACAAGGACTAGCAAAGTGCAGCATGGAAGGTCTCAAGACAAAGCAGCAGCCTCAACATTTCTCTCTAATGAGAAAAGGAAAAGACAGTTGAGGTCCCATAGGAATGCGGTATTTAGGGAAAGAACCAAGACTCCTTTCATGAATGGAGAGATAGCCCTGATGAATTCTGGACTACCTGCTATCTGAGGGGCACGTCTAGGTTTAAGAATGATTTGGATCACAGGCTGTAACATTTTCCAGACATTCAGATTGCAACTACTAAGCCAGCAATTTTATGCTTTCCTTTCCCTGACTCCAACAGTACCGTGATATAAGCAGCCAGATTTTCTTCTGCATTGTGTTTTTTATCCATTCAGCCAAAATTAACAGTCTTCGAGGATAACGTATGCCAAGTGAATTTAAATCTTGTGGACTCAAATCGACCTAAAGTTGATGGATACATTCATGCCTACTGCTGAAATCTACCAATTACACAGAACTATGTTAACTTACCATAGAAACATCTCATCTAATAGCACAGATGATGTTGAACTAACTAATTACATTATGGCACATAGACAATGAAAAACATAACGAAGATGACAGCACAGCCACAGCAGATGCTGCACAAAAGAAAAATTAGAAAAATATTGCTCTGCAAAATGCTCTCAGTTAAGGTTTCCTCTGTTAAAATTAATCACGAAAATTAGTGAAGATCAGATTTCAGAAAAAGATATGAACATCGTAATGGTATTTGGAAGACGTCATTAAACCATTTAAAACTCTGCTCCTTGAGAAGGTAATTCCCATTTTTCGTATCGCTATCAGTTTTAAGACTAGTAAACATTTTAGTGCCTATGGCAGAGTTTCTTGGTAGAATATCTTTTCCAATAAGGAGAGGTCCTGATGGCTCTTCCAGAGTCTGAATTTGGTAGCTTCCAGCCATTACAGGCTTAGATAATTAGACAACGTAGATTTTATTTTAGCTTGGCATTTGCTCTGTTCTTGTGCTCTTAGCTATCAGAGAGCTAGAATAATAGTGACTGTTGATTATCTGTAGCATGCCTTGTTACTTTATATATTTTAAATTGTGCCAGATCCTAAATAACAAATCTAAAACTGCTGAGTATGTTTAAATGTAATATGTACATGGAGATTACATCCAGATGATATATTTCATAGACCTATGCTGAAAAAATACTACTTTTAACCACAACACCAGTCCTCCCCCCTTTCCCTGTGAAGCTTTCCACGAGCTCCCAGCCCGCTTTATGCACAGATTCTGAACATATCCCAGTCTACGGAGAAAGACTTTTCTCCTGCATTTATATCATACCTCTGGTACCATTCAAATTTCAGTATTTTATTTGCTATATAATTAAAAACAAAACATATGCACTGTATCCTATGTTTTCCCGAGTACGCTTTTCCTAGCTAGGCATTCTTTTCCCTTGAATTTTAACTTGTTATGGGGCTCGCGCCTCCATGGTGCAGCTGGGGCCAGGGATGCAGAAATGCAGGAGGCCCACAGGTGGCGGTGTGGTTAAAGTACACCTGGGCTGGGATTGCCGGGACAGCCGGCCTCTCACAGACAGTCGCTCTGCGATTTTGCACCGGTGCCCCTTATTTGTAAATAAGTACTGCCAGCTGAAGTTTCGTACACCTCTGCGGGTACGTCCCTTCCACGTCAGCCTCCAGCAGGAACAGGTTTAAAATACTTTGTGGCCTGGGACGAGGGAGAGAGGGCAGGCACAGGCAAGCCCGTAATTCAGTCACACCACCATCACTAAATATTTATTTGACAACAGCAATTAATTGTACCCCCCTGAGCGGTGCCAGGACCTGTCCTGCCCTCTCCTGCAGCACAGGTCAGTGTCAGCCTGCGTGCCGGCCCCGGCCTTGCTGCAGTTGCAGCCAGCCCCACTGTCCTCACTGCATTGGCTGCTCCTTACGTCAGCAGTCAGGAATCGAGAAACTCGGATTGTGAAGTTTTTTTTTTTTTTTTCTGTTCTTTCACAGATCCTGGAAACGTATAATTGATCCGAAGCTTTGGCCGAGGTTCGTGCAGTGAAGTGTGTTCTGCGCGTGTGTCCCCCGTGCGAGCAAGTGCCAGGCAAGAGCCTGTTCCAGCAGCTGGGCACATCCCTGCCACCCGCAGGAATAACTGTTCACCGGGAAAACACCCACTAATTATGGCACGTTTACAGATACTTTTATTATTTCAAGGGTCATGCTTCAGCTATATGGTGCTGTACTTATCCGGAATTCTGCGCTTAGGCCTCAAAAATGTGCAGTTAATGCGTGTTTGGCGTTTTTTTTCCCAATTTTAAGTGTCCCTACTGAACATTACTTCTTCTGATTTGCTATCATCCTCGGGCTCCTTCCTCTGAAACGCAGTTGTCTTCTGAAATGACAAGCCGTGCTGCTAACTGCCAGCCAACTGCGGCACTTTAACCCTTTTAAACCTTTCACAGGGCGATAAGAACCGGGGGCTGGGGCCGGACGTCGGGTTCCTTCACGGTTTTACCGGGGGAAACGTTTAAAAAGTCGGCGGCCCCAGGGGCAGGACGAGGCCGCGGGCACCGGAGGGAAGCGGCGACGACCGCGCCGCCGCGGGCCCGCCTGGGGGGGCCGCACCTCCTCGCCCCGCCGCGCCGGCAGCGCCCAGCACCCGTGAGGGGCTCCGAGGGTCGCTGCCAGCCGGGCGGAGCGGACCCGTCCCCGGGGAGGGCCGGGACGGCCCCCCCCTTGCCGCCAAGTTTCTCAACTGGTGGCCGGGACCGGAGCGGGGCGGGCGGCGCCCCAACGGCCCCTAACGGCCGCGCGCGCGCCGCTCCCCTCAGCGCCCGGCGCGGCCGCCGCTGCCCACCTGACTGCCTCCTTCCTCTCCATTCCCCTCCTCCTCCTCGCCCCCTCCCTTTCTCGCCTTTTTTTTTTTTTTTTTTTTCCTAAATCAGAAATGAAAAATAGGTCGGTAAGGTAGAACCTTCCCCTTCCATTTAAAACGTGACATTTAATCTATTTAAATAACTAAGTAAACTTTATTAATTCCGGATTTGGTAAGCAAGCTGAGCAAGCAGGGCGCTTCGCAACTTTTTTAATTCAGACGGCGAAACGTGAGAGGGAGCTCCCTCCAACCCCAGGTTCGACAAAATCCCGGTTTCTTTCAGCTTCAAGCAAGATGGGAATAGCCGGGACACACAAAAAACCGCTCAGCACCCCCTCCCCACGAAGGGATTTTTCCCGGAGGGCTCGGAGCATCCTCCCGGGGGCGGAGGGGGAAGCTCCGCGGTCCCTCAGCGCTCCCAACCCTCCGAGAATGGCAGGAATTGAAGTAAACAACCCAAAACTCTCAAATCTTTCTGATTACTTTATTAAGTGCCAGTATTTCAGAGGGGAAAAAAAAAGGGGGGGGGGGAGGGAGGCAGAAGAAGGAGGAATCCAGCT